ACTACCAATATCTGGAAACTGTACCGCGCTGCTCCAGGGCAGGCGTGATCCCGTAGATCCGAATCACCACATGTTAGCATAGAAACAGTTACGTAATGGAAAATGATTAGCCGTAGTGGAAAGAGAATTGAGCATGGTTTGGTCGTCGGCTTCGTACTACAGTACTGCCGCGAAACCGATCATGATTCACAGGACAATGAACTCATTAATTCGGTCAAGGCATAGACAGATCCCGTGATTCGGTCACCTCCTATTGCCTTTATCTTTTTCAATGTACTTGCGGTTCGCGGTACGTCGGAAGGACTGAACGCCGACTGTCGACCAAAATGAGTAAGCATGTTCCGAATAACTTATCACTTAGGGAAGGAAAGCTTCTAGCAAGCGCAGTGGCACGACATTTGCTGGATATGGGACCCTGCATTGACAAACGCAAAGCTTTNGCGTTGTGCTCAAAGTTCGAAGACCAAGGATGCTTAGGTTTGCTGAAGCGGTTGTCATTAACCGTTTAAAGCCTGACCTATGCGTGCAAAAGGCCTTTGTGATGCAGTTGTTATTACCATGGTAACTCCCCTCCCCTTTGCTTCCCATCATCTCTCTTACATCATCGTTGACACCTCACCCTTCTCATTTTCTTATTACGCAATTTTCGATCTACTCAATGGGCCAATTTTTTACTCCGTTTACTTTCTACGTGTGTTCGAATTCATTTCTTGTTGTATCTGTTTCGTGTTACGTAACCACGTTCAACTCTCTTTCCACCATTACGTAACTGTTTCTATGCTAACATTCCTCTCCTCCTATTTCACCCATACCCAAATGACTTTGGTAATGACTTAACAACCCAGTGCTTTCTGCCTGAACCCGTGTAATTATGTAAATATCCATATATGATATTGTTCTTATAATATTCGACCCATTTACAGTGCGTAGACAGCTGATTGAGAGCACGCGAAATTGATGGCCAATATAATCAATTCTGTTCATATTGTGATTGTTCTTCACCTAATCTTTGGGAAGTTCACATTGCTCAGTATTGGATAATTAGACTTCGGGAAGTGCGATTGACTCATACAGTTAACGTGGAGAGCTACGGAGTGTTATGGGTAGATTTGTTTATTACGACCCACAGTTAGGGTATGTATAATTTGATGTGCATATATAACAAAATATCTCGTTTTGAACATATCATTACAATTACCAACAGCACAGAGCGTAATGAAATGAACACCGATTTGTTACAAGAGGTCTCGTTCATGTTGGACCGTTGAAAGAAATCACCAATTGCATCCTTTTGCGTGCTACTCACAAATGTGTTTAGTACTTCAAGACACGGAGTACATTTCGTTGATATCACTGGGAAATAGCATTTTGTGCACTATGAACCAATTCGACAAAGTCAAACGTTTAAGGTGCCCAATACACCTCGAGGTCTCATCCAGATAGTGACCGCCACGACAGAAACGGGAAAGTTGGACTGTTGTTCTTGGTTGGTGTGGAATCCGAATTTTTAGCCAGCTCTCCTAAGTGAACTGCCGGGGTTCATTAATTCGGTTATAACCCCAGATTATTTTCTTTTCTCACTTTGGTGGAAACAAACTCCCATGTGATAAAGGCATTCAAACCAATGCATGTGTAACCCCAGTTATTTCGAACAAGTTGAGTAACTTATCTCCGGCTTTTTGACGACCTGTGCCAGGTCGATTCTTTTCTATAGACGCCTCGTTCGGGAACAAATCATAGCTGTCAAACCGTTTTCACCGACCGCGGATAAACACCCAAACGATGTCAGCTTCGATAATAGATTGAGACAGAACATATCATGGCGGTGGTGGCTCCGGGGGACATGTGTGACAATCCCACCACCAACACCAACACCTGACTCTCTGCATTGCCTGTGTTGTATGGAGGCCCTTCGATTGGCCACTTCTCTATTCCTGAAAAGGAAAAGAAAGAAACAGTAGTAAAAATATTCAGATTTTTCTAATGATCACCAGTGTGTGATGGACATCAGACAGGGTAGAATTCCGTAGTCACGAAGACCTGCTGCTCGGTGATGGTAAACGGCAACCTAAGCCCCGCAGGATTTGGAGGGACGAACAATATAAGGCCTTGCTGGATCAGGCATGGCATACAACCGGGTCACAGCCAAGCTACCTACCATCAAAGTCAAGTCGCGGTGGCAGAGCTCGAACCTCGTGCCACAGGATCCAAAGCATAACGGGGATAGTGACTAAACCACTTAGCCATCACCACTCCGATTGGCTTCATTTCTTCTCACTTTAAAGAATTTATCAAGTCAATTTCTGCTTGCGAAATTAATCGTGCCACCATCCTCGCTTTAGCGAACTTTCGATATACAAGCGCAAGATCTATAAGTTGTGTTCTAGATGACTTTTCTCAGTCCTCGCTGTATACGGTACTCTGTATGCTTAAGGGGTTCACTTCCCTGTAATTTTTGGCTCAGCACTATGCCTAGCATAGTTTCTCACTCAAAATCTCCGCGTTTCGTGAGTAGTTGATTCCGACAAACGACAGCATGATTTACCTCTTTTGCGAGTCACCACACTGAAGGTGTGTAGTATAAATTGTCATCTCCAGGTGTTCTGTTTTATTCTGTACGCTTTCCGGTTCAATCAACGCTCGTACAGAATGACAGCAAAACCCCAGTTTTTCACCACTCCGAATCCTCAAGGTCTATTTTTCTCATGTGAACGTGAAATTTGTCTTATACATGGCAAACGAAGCGTAAACTACCAAGCTGAAAAGCACTGGGCAGCTTTTTCGACCTGGTCTGATCAGCTGCCTAGTGGCCGAGTGGGTAGCATGCTTGCGTTCTGCTTGTGAGGTCCCGAGTTCGGTCGATGGATTCGCACTGTGGCTGATGAGACCCAACCAGGTCGAAGCAGCTGTCCAAGGCTTCCTAGCTTTTCAGTTCACGTTTCATTAGCTATATACACGACGAATTTACCGTTTGAAGTTGAATCATATCCTCCATTACTCATATGAAGTGNNNTGAAGTGTCATTTTTGTTCGACGACCAAATTCTCTTAATCTCTTTCTCCCGCTCGTTTGCGTGCTGTGTATCTAGTAACCGTTTAATCCAGTGCTCGCCCAATGATCACATTCCCGTGTTGTCATGTGATGTGTGACTTGGGCTTTGTCTATCATGGAGCACACACGCACACAATCCAATCATTTCATTTTTCATGTGTTCAAGTTGACAGTCACTATCGGATTGGTCCGATCCTTTTGATCTACACATACACACGTACACATGCACACAGTGGTACTAATTACATCACCATAAAATTTGATCCATGTTTACTTCACTCCAGCGACTGGCACAATTCGCGCAAACCGCTCACGCCACACGCACGACCAGATTCCGATGCAGACGACGGCACTTTACGTTTGGATTCTGTCCATTCTGTGGTTCTCAACATGTTACGGATACAAATTTGGTCTTGGGATACACGATATAACAGGACCGGCAGCAGATGTGAACATGGTATGTGCAACATCCCANATGTGCAACATCCCACTCTTCTATTTTTTTTCCAGATGGGCTATGCAAAAGTGGCACAAATCGTATCCGGTATACACTTGCGTCTGTTTAGTCGCGCCTATGTCGTACAGGATGACGCGGAGCAGACTCGACCAATTTTGTTCATCAATTTGGATCTGGGAATGACCAGTCAGCTATTAAAACAGGAGGTGATTGTGTTCATGCAGACATATAATTAAAAAAAAATAATAATAATAAATTGCGTGTGTTTTGTGCGCGCAGATTGTGATTAGATTACGAGAAGATTTCGGGGATCTGTTCGACGAAACCAACGTGCTGCTGAGTGCCACTCACACGCATTCCGGTCCCGGAGGATATTTCCAATACTTTCTATATGATATCACTTCGTTGGGTATAGTGAAGCAAAATTTGAAAACCATGGTGACCGGTGTTGTGCAAGTTGGTGCGAATTCACCCGAAAAACTGTTCGGGTTAATTTCTATTCTTTCCAGAGTGTTCATATGGCATGGAACAACCGTGTGACTGGGAGTATTCGCATTGCCAAGGGTAATTTGACCAACGCTAGCATCAATCGTAGTCCGGCCTCGTATGACAGAAATCCGCCAGATGAACGTTCCAGGTGAGTATTTTTGGTCAGGACAAAGATAGAAACTAATGGATGGATCCCATCCGATTTGTAGTTATGCGGCGAATGTGGATCAGGAAATGATTTTGCTTAAATTTGTCCATTCAAACGGTACGCCTGTTGGCATGCTCAACTGGTTCCCAGTCCACGCTGTCAGTATGAACAATTCGAATACACTGATTAGCAGTGATAACAAGGGTTTGGCCGCGATTCTCTTTGAAAAACACATGAACAAGGATAATCTATTAGGAAAGGTGAGTTCACACACGTGTGTGTATGTATTATTGATTCCGCGTATCACAGGGACCGTTTGTTGCGTCATTTGCACAAGCCAATGAGGGAGACGTCTCGCCGAACATTGCGGGTCCTAGATGCATTGATACGGGGCTTCCGTGTGAAATGGTGCATACCACGTGCGGTGGTCGGGTAAGTTCGGGTTTAGTTTTGATTTCCATTTGACCGGAGTATTCGCTCGCTCGCTCGCTCACTCACTCACTCACTCACTCACTCACTCATTCACTCACTCACTCACCCACTCACTCACCCACTCACTCACCCACTCACTCACTCACTCGCTCTCATCCCCTCCTCGTGCTATTCTATCTGACAGGCAGAAAAATGTATCGCTTTTGGTCCGGGATCGGATATGTTCGAAAGCACACGTATTATTGCTCAGCGTCAATTTGAAAAAGCATTGGTAAGTCCCCCGGATTCTCTTTGTGCAATTTATGACAGTTTCATGTATTCATATGTGCTCAGGTATCAGCCTAATGTAGTAGTTAAAGTAGACACCGAACACGAATTACGATTTGCGAATCATGAATTACGAACGCAACTGGAATGATGAATCACGCTAGCACTTGCACGCTGGTATCACCTGTCACCGAGACGCAAGAAAAGGGTCACAGAAGAAATCGCTGGGAATAAATAACATGTACAAAGGAAGTTTATTGGTCATACAGGTATCCACCAATCGCGTGCTTGTATTCCTGACATCATCCAGCTTCTGTTTGGACCGCACTACTTTCGATTGGTCGGCATGATCGGCCTGTGGTTCGTTGTCCAGAAACCGAAACGCGTAGGCGCTTGACTGACGTCATCTGAGAAGGCTGAATCACCACAGTTGTCCAGAAACTGTGACGCGTCGTTCCGTGACTAGCGTTATTCCGAAGGCTTGATTTACCAGACTTATTCTCTGATAATTTGAATTTTTCGAAAAGATGTTTGACCATAAATCGCCACAGATGTCACACATGATGTTTAAATGTTTTGAAGCAAATGTTGTAAATGCTGCTGGTTCTGGATGAAATAACACGAACAATGTATGCTCGCTCGGTTCATGTCGAAATGGGACTCGATTGTGCAAGGTTTCGCGCGTATAAACTTACTGCTGAACTCTTTGGCTCCCAGTGTTTAACACTATGTAAATACTGGATTGGAATCGATTGACTAAGTCATTCAAAGAGGGAGAAATTGATTTGAGAAAGTCACTGAAATCAAGAATTCAGTTTAAGTTTTTCGGTAGCACCATCCAGCAGGCTTATGTGATCGATTTTAAATAAATGGTGGTTTTCTAGGATCTAGAAGATATTTCATCTTTTTACCACAATCCTGGCTTCAAAATGGTTTATCAAGAGGTGAAAAGGTGACTGTCACCGTCAACTCTCATCACCACCACCAAATGTTTGCGGTTCACAACGGACGGGAAATGAAGCAATAGCAAGCCGGTTCGTAGAACACGGGAGATAGAGCAAATCATTTGGGCACAGAAGTAATGAAGTGACGAACTATCTGGAAGACAATGTCCGAACAGACATGAATTGGCAGTTCTGTTCAACCCTTGCACGAGCTGGTTGGCGCAGTGATAACACACACACACTGTTGTATTCAATAAAACTTGTAATATGCACGTAAGTAAATCCTTTGAATTAGCAGAGAACAGTAGCAACGTAACTCATGTATAACGCGTTAGACCGCACAACATCACCTCCGTCCTTCTACTAGCGTTTATAATAGGTAACGGTCAACTGGTCTGGGGTTCTGGCTGGAACGTCTGGACTGTGTTCGATCTTACAGTAGGAGCTGTTGCTGTATCATTTGATTGGCAACTTTCCTTCTGACCACGTGACATCGGAATTTTGTAGAGTTGTCTTGTGTTGACCTTTCCATTCTTCCATTCTCAAGTAGGTACGTTCCCGGTCCCAAAACTTTCACAACTTTGAGCGGAGGTGAAAGCACAGGGAGCCCCTTCTGAAGAACGTGGTTTTTAGTCCGTACATGACACCCAGCATTCAACGGTTTAGTTTCTCTTCTGTATGTATACTGGTATGATTTGAAGCGCCTCTTGTAAATCGTGTCATGGAAGTTGAGTGGACGAAAGGCAGTCGTATTTTCTCCACTCAGTTGTACGCCTTCTTGAGACAAGCCTTAGCTGAGACACTGCAACCTGAAGACACTAAAAACACACGGTTGCATATTGATGCACACATTCTTCTAACGACAATCACGAGCAAAGTAACCGATCTTATGGCAGGTATTGCAGTCTGCTGATCGAGCTGGGCACAAGGGGTAATTGGTTTTGTGGGCCGCACTTCCACACCTGTGACATGTGATGCCTTTCATTGTACTGTTCTTTAGTAGAGGAAATAATTTAGAGACCTCAACCAGTTCACTGTGCTGGGACAACTCTTTCGTTTGCTTCGACATTTCGTCTTTAATGTACGCCAATTCGCAGGCCTTCTCCCATATCAGTTTATCGGCGTCCTCTTTCAAGAGTGATTCTCGAAGTCGATCGTCTTTGATACCCGAAATGAATTGCTGAATAAACACAGATCCTTCGAGTTTCTTCTGAGGCAATTTAGAATACTCACAAAATCGCACTGCTCGGTTCAATCGAGAAACAAACTGCTTCAATGGTTCTCCATTTTCTTGAATAATACGAGAGAGTCGAAATCTGGCAGTGAACACATTCGGTTGAGATCCGACGGTACGGTCCAAACTATTAAGAGCAGATTGAACAGTAGAGCACGTTTGTAAATTGAGATCATCAAACTTTCGTTGTCCTTCGTCTCCAAGCAAATGACGCAAAAGTTTCAACTTGCTGCTTTCATCCAGTACAATCGATGGATTTCACACTGGCAGGAGATCGATTTTATCGTTAAACGAAGTTTTCCATTGTTCCCAGGATTCTGGAGCCGGTTGAACGTTACAATCTATCCAAAATGGTTCAGGTGGAGTAATTCCTGAACTCATGTTGCGACGCCATATGTTGTATTCAATAAAACTCGTAATATGCACGTAAGTAAATCTTGTGAATTAGCAGTGAACAGTAGCAACGTAATTCATGCACAATGACAGAAGCCTGTCATTAGCCGATACTGGTCGTACTAGTAATCAGCAGTCAACCAATCAATACCAAGCATACACGTGGTGCAGTCTGATTGGTCACTGTAATCAAGGTTGCATGTGAGGAACGTCCATGCCACGCGCGTGTGTGTCTGTACGTCTGTGTGTATATCGGGTATTGATGTTGCGCGTTCAAGAGGAGCGATGTGTACGAGTGTTATCGAACAAATGCGTTAGACCGCACAACACACCTTCCTTGCGAAGGGTTCGGAGATCAAAGTCCGGACGGGAAGCTACTGATGAGCTGTCATAAGAGCGGAACTTCAGCCTATATTGCTTCCGAGTGTTTGGTTGACTGGATTAGTTAAGGAATGTGCATGAAGGTGAAATCTGAAGGATGATCAGTTCCAATCAATAAATAATCAACTGCCACGGTGACTGTGTATGTCACACGATGAGAATCTAATGTTAGTCGATGGTGAAACATTTGCATTCTATTTTCCAGGCTCAGAAAATAACTGAAAATCAACCATCGGTTGTATTGCATTATAGTTTACATCTACCTGAGTCCAGACCGTCAAACGAATCTTGGTAGAAGTCAATAAAACCGATTATTGTTTCTTGAGCACAATATCGTCTGGCTGATCAGTCCAATTCATGATAATCTCCCAGCCACACTATTGAAGTCTTCAGGTATCCAAGGTTTGATTTGCAATGTTACGTGTTGATTTAAAGAGATCACAACTAATCACGGACGGGAGTACAATCACTCGGATTCTACGTCCCTGAGATGTAGTTCAGTCGTCCAGAGTGCCCCATTACACCTGATGGCACAAACAGGCTTTGATATTTGCAGACAAGTTGTCTTGGATATGGATCAATACTTCTTCTTTATGAGTTTCAAGTTGCAGCAGCACAGCCCCCATAGCTAATCAACTCGTTTATAAGGGGTGATGGCGGCGTAGTGGGTTACTCTTTGTCACTGGCGTACTTTGGACCCTGTGGTCCGAGGTACGAGCCCAGCCACCACCACCCAACTTTGAAGGTAGGCAGCTTTGCTGTCGCCCCATTCTACACCACGCCTGACCTAGAGGGGCTTTGTGGTGTTCGCCATTCCAAGTTCCGGGATTTACGTTGCCGGTCACCACCTCGGAACAACAAGTCTTCGTTACTATGGGGTCCTCTTCCGAATGCTGTTCACCACACACTGGTGTGTAATAAAAAAAGAATACGTTCGACACTAGACTCTGACCCCTTTAGTTCATATCACCATCCTGGCTACTAGAAGACGGTGAGTAGAACATCCTGTGTAATCAGGCTTGTCTATGATCCACTTAACTTTGTCCGGGATTAAAAGTGGGTAATCAAATAATAATGACATTGCACACCTTCAGGAAAATACTCATAAATATACATTAATGCACAAGCAAGTATGTGGATCGGTTTTTTCTTTGTTTGTTTGCTGTTTGCGTCGGTTCTTAGGCTGTAAAAGCAAACATTCAACATTCCCAGTATACCGCCTTCTACACCCTTCCAGTTCACCAGACGCACGAATCATCATTATCCATTAACTGTTAGCCGATTTGGTCCGATCCTAAACGTATACCGAAATCTGATAACTACGCCTTTTCCCATCAGGCTTTAGCCAAAACTCACAGTTCTTTAGCCTGGACCCATAATCCTTTGGCCAAATCCCGAAGTGCTTTGACCAAACCCACAATCAGTGTTTCCGTATAACATGCGATACTCGTGTAAGTAAAAATCTCACGTTTGACACAAATGGTTCATTATTTCACATTCAAAAACCCTGAAAAAATGTCAGAAAGTGAGACCACAACGAAGGAAATGCTCACTGTTCCGTATTTTCACTGAAAGTGTACTCTGCTCATGAGAAGCGGGTACATAAACAGTTCGAGGGTGGTGAACACCGTTCACAAAAATGCGCCCCTTTGGGTTTATCTTTTCCTAACAATCTATAGACAAACCGTTATTCTTGAGCCTCGACCGTGGTTACTGTCAAATGTTGTAGTTATGGATGTGTGCTTTTGTGAACGGTGTTTATTGTCTTCAGACTAGTAATGTATCCACTTCTCGTGAATGCAAAAACAATGTACCGTTTCTAATACATTTGAGATTTTTACTCAGAGAAGTATCGCAAGTTATAAGGAAACACGGAAGATGTGCGAAATTTGCCAAATGACTCGGGGATACGGGCTCATCGATTAAACCGTTTACGGTCAATATGTGCGACCTCAAACCTTATTTCTTAACCAAGTTATGCAACATCAGCACTGTTAGAAAATAAATTTTTCCAACATCCGTTGACTTCAAAATATTTCGATTATTTTTTAT